TTAGTAGAGACGGGGTTTCACCATGTTGACCAGGATGGTCTCGATCTCTTGACCTCGTGATCCACCCGCCTCGGCCTCCCAAAGTGCTGGGATTACAGGCGTGAGCCACTGCGCCCGGCCGATGCACATATTTTTAATAACAGTAGTTATCTGTCATTGTTTATGCCCAGAAAAGGGCATGAAGTTTCACTGAGTCTGATTCAACACAGTGCTGAGAGAAACCAACCAGGAGGTAAGGGAGGCTATGAAAAGATAAGTCCCCTCCAAAATGGGCAAGAACCTTTGACAGATGTGGAGCAGAAGACAACGCCATCTGAAGTGTGAGGGGCAGGAAGATCTCACATTTGGGTTGGAGTTGGAATTGTTAGGTTAACTTTTGTTACTTTCCCATGTTATACCTTTCATTGTATCCTCTCTGCTCCTGACAGTAACACAGAAACAGCCTATGGGCAGTAAAGAAATGGGAGCTTCCTCTTTCTTTACTGAGTCAGGCTTGAAAGAGAAGAACCCTGAGGCCGACTGAGGTGGTGACACCAACGGAGAGGAAGAAAGTAAGCCCAGACCCAGGGCAGCTGTGAGAGGGACGGGCTCTGGCCCAGACTATTACAATTCAACCCAATGACGTGAAAACAAAGCAAAGGGTTGTAAATGCAAACATTTTAGCTAAGATCTTCTCCATCATTGAGCTTGTTTTGTTTGTTTGTTTTGGTTTGGTTTTTGTTTTTTTATGGGGGTGGGGGGCAGTTGCTTTATTCTGAGACCAGGTCTTCCTCTGTCACCAAGGCTAGAATGCAGTGGCACCATCATAGCTCACTGCACACTCTAACTCCTGGGCCCAAACAATCCTCCCACCTCAGCCTCCCAAGTAGCTGAAACCACAGGTGCATGCCACTGCGCTTGGCTATTGAGCTGTTTTGGAGTAAGGACTGAATATTTTTTAAAATTTACTACTGGTGCTTTGATTAAGGAAGGAAGAGCTTGGTAGGAGGAGAGAAGCAGCATGTTTTACAATCACGCAAAACTGGGTTCAAGACTCAGCTCTGTCACTGAGTTTAAAGCTTAAAGACAGATAAAACCAATAAATCACATTACAAATCTGGAAAGTGGTTACTATGAGGGTGGTGACCAAGAGAGAGGCCAACAGGAGCCCCTCGGGATGCTGGTTATGCTCTGTTTATTGGTCTGAGGGCTGGTTGCAGGTATGCACTAAACGAGGAAACTTCATCTACCTGTGTACTCATGTTTTGGATATTTTTCTGTACATAGATTATATTTCCAGAAAGGACATTTGCCTTGTTTTGTTTTTAAGAAGGGGTGATAAACAACACATAACTTTTGAGGGCATTGGCAGTAACATATAAGTAAAAGGTACAGATAACAGAACAGCCTTGAGGGGCTCCTTGTCTTGAGGAGGCATGGAGTGGGAGGGAGTGCTTCACACTTTAGGGGGCTTTGTTCAGCTGGGAGATTGATCCCATGGGGCTTCTGGGAAGACAGAGAGTGGCAGAGAAGCAGGATGATCAAGGGTGCTGGGCAATAAGAGAAGACCGCTGACATCATTTCCACTCTGTGACACTCAAATGTTCAAGAAAGCCACTCAGTTTTTGCAGTATTGGATTCCAGCCCCTTGCAGAATCAGCAGGTCCACAGTCTTAGAGGATGAAGTAGACAGAGCCAGAGGCAGGGATTTTAGTCCAGAGATGGCTTGCAACTACCTTATGCCTTGAGCCAAGTTTTTTTTTTTTTTTTTTTTTTTTAATTTCCAAGCAGGAAGGCCCACAAATGATATCTGATTATAAGTATATAAAGTGTCTGGCCCATAAGTGCTCACCAAATGTTAGATATTATCATTTTTCTATTGGTCTGTGGTCAAGATGTATCTGTAAATGTCTCAAACAAATTCCCACCTTAGCACCTGTCACGCACAAGGACCCCATAGAGATCCAAAGACACAGGAACCTCAGTCCTTGTCCTCCACTGTCTCCCTGCACAGTCAGCACAGTGAGAGAACCGGGCATGAGCAAATGAGAAAGTGCCACTCTGCGTGTTCTTTAAGCTCCATGAAGATGGACTCTGGACAGCAGTGGGTGGGGCCCTGCCAAATCCAGGCCAGAAGGTGTTCCTTGTTTGCACAACAAGAGGCCACCCAGAGGACACCACCCTGTGAACTTCAGAGCAGGGAGCCAGCAATGGCCTTTAGACAGCCCTCCTCCAAAATTACACACCACCTCTACAAGTGCACATTGATTATATAGGCTGCCTACCGGTAATCATTAATACAGCTGTACTGGAACCCCATGTCCTTCAGCCTCTTTTCCAGGACTTTCATGCTGCCTTCCCCGCAGGATTCCCTAAAACATAAAAATATATAATTAAAAAGTAAGAAAATAAGAGGACGAAGAGGAAGCTATCTCTTGGTTAAGTGTAATTTCTTTTGACTATGTGCTCCTGGATATTCTACTCTCAGAAAGAAAAAGGAATGTCTCTGGTTTAAAAAGGGCTACTTCCGGTAAACTTGCGGGACCCAGGAGACGATGCTCTGAGGACCCCAGCCCCAGGCCTGAGGCTGGGCAGCCAGGAGCACTGGGAGAGCCAGGGACAGTGCATGTGCATGATGTCAGCCACCTGAGCAGTCCGTCCCCAGACAGTGACACATATCTGCAATGTGCCCCAGGGGCTCAGCACAATGCTACCTGTCAATTTGTGCACCTTACACTGCAGTGTATTCATTCAAAGTTTTAAGTAACCATCAAAACATACACATTTAAAAATATTAGAAAATGCAAAGAAACAAAATTTTTTAGAAATTACCTGAAATATTATACCCTTAGAGATAACTGATGTTAACATTTTGGCATTTTGGTGTATATAGGTCTAAACTTTTAAAATATATTTATTTCTGCGAGTTTCTTAAAACATAGCAATGGGACTCTGCTATCCAATTTGTTTTGTACTCTGCTTTAGCTCCTGTGTATACACACACACACACACACACACACACACACATACACACACACACTTTTCTGCCATTGTTTTTAGCTCCTGCATGGTCTCCCTTCCATAAACAGACTATAACTCATAGAGCCCATCCTTTCTTGTTGAAGACCTAGGTTGATTCTTTTATTTCAATGCCATTTACAACAAACTTTGTTGGTGTGGAGTCCTAATTAGGAAAAAAGGGAGTCAGGCTGGCAGGAGCAGGGAAAAGCAAAAAGAGAAAGCAGATAAGCTATAAGTCTGTTTTCTTCATGGTTGAGGATACACAGCTTTCTACACAAGTAACTCACAACTTTCCCATGCCCAGCTATCACCAGATCCTCAGCTGATAGGAAAAGGCAAGTTAGCTTACTTGGTGTTATCAGAACTGCACGAAGTGCTCTTCAGCACACAGCACAAGCACAATCCTATAAAAACCCCAGCAAGCCTTTGTCTCCCTGAAGTCAGCTCATCTCTTGTTGACCTGCCTGTTGCACCCTTGCAACATATTTTCATACTTTCACTAATAAATCTGCCCTTCTTTACCTTCAACTGTCTTGGTAAATTCTTACCTCCCGTACCACCAGCCCAGATAGTCACTGATTAGAACTTCATTTTCATACACATTCTTAATTGTTTGTTCACTTGGCATAAATTCCTGAAAGTAGGTTTTCTGGCATCACCGATTTGAATCCACTTTAAGGCTCTTATATAAACAGTCTGATAAAGTACAAGAGTGGCAATTTCCCACACTTGTACCAACAGTGATTCTTGTCCGCTTCCATTAAAGGTCACAATTAAGCAGGGAGAATTTACAAACACAAACCGAAGTAGACACAACACCACCAACTGTGGTTATTAAGCATGGTATATTATAGGCAGGACCCTGAGTTTACATTAAGTGGGATGGTAAACACCCTCCCCACTATAAAATTAATAGAGGGGGAGTGTACAGGGTGGAAATAAGCAATTGGAAATTTTTACAGAAGTAGAATTCCAGGCATTACAGGAATGAAGAGAGCAAAGTATTGAATAACATCATTTTTTAGAACTTTGACAATACCTGGGACAATGCCTTACTCTGGGCCAGGTTCACTACTTATAATTTTTTTTTTAGTAAGCAATGACATTTAGGCTGCAAGACACCTGGACACGGAGATAAGTGAATGGGTTATTAAAATAACTATAAAGGCCAGGTGCGGCAGCTCACGCCTGTAATCCCAGCACTTTGGGAGGCCGAGGCAGGTGGATCACCTGAGGACAGGAGTTTGAGACCACCCTGGAAAACATGGTGAAACCCCGTCTCTACTAAACACACAAAAAATTAGCTGGGTGTCGTGGCAGACATCTGTAATCCCAGCTACTTGGAGGTTGAGGCAGGAGAATCACTTGAACCCAGGGGGCAGAGGTTGCAGTGAGCTGACATCTGGCCACTGCACTCCAGCCTGAGAAACAAGAGTGAAACACCATCTCAAAATAAATAAATAAATAAATAAATAAATAAATACCTTTTTTTTTAATAAAGGCAGCCCAAAGCATGCCAAACACAATCAGTTGTTAGCCATGCTGATTTTAGCTCTCTGCTTGTGAGTTTTATTTTTTAAATAAGTTTTATTTTGTATATTTGAGGTTTATAGCATGATGTCATTAGATACATATAGATAGTAAATTGGTGACTGTAGTAAAGCAGATTGACTATCTATCGTCTCACATAGTTACTTTTCCATGTGATAAGAGCAGCTAAAATCTACTTATTTAACAGTGATAATCCCTAATACATTATAATTTTATTAACTATGCTACTAATATGTTCTCCCTAAAATCTGAGCCAAGAGTCCCACTTTCTGAGACTATGACCTGCATCTTCACCCTGTGGCTCAAACATACAACCAGGTGCTCTGACTCCTTTTGTGACCTCTCCTACAGCAGAAAGGATGGGCTGAGATGACATTGAATTGCAATCCCCTTATCTTGGTAAAGGTAGGTTCAAAGCACAAGCTTTCTCTGATAGATACATAAAACAACAAGCAAGTATAAATTCTAGACAGAGCAACTTCTCACAAAAATAAGACCAATGATACACATTTCTCATGCAAAAGTAAGTATAATTTGTCTTCTGAGAAGGGGAATGCAGATCTTGGTATTACTTATGTAATTAAGTAGTTTTCAAATTTATCACAATCTATTGCCCAAGAGACAGGGGAAAATTCAGCCCTTAATATGGTGAGTCTTAGAGGGTCATGGGGGCTGACAAGGACACAGGGAATTCACTGAGTTTCTCCTAAACACTTTCAATGGGACCGCCACTCCTGTGGTTAGTAAAACTTTTCTCCATGTAGCACAGAGGGACTGTTCTGAAGGATAAGGTCCTAGCTTGCTTCCAAAGCTCCATTATGGCTTTTTAGCTTTAATTAGGCTGTGGCCTCATTGGCTTGTCTTTAAACCAAATCAGTTTAATTTTAATCTTGAGTTTGTGCCAGCAGTGCCCTATACTCTGCTGAGAAGGATGAGTTTCAGCCTGCATTTACACATAAACTCGTGCTTTTCCAGAAAATGTGGATCGTAAAAGTTTTCTTAATCAGTTATTCAAGACCCAGTTGAAAAGCTGGTTGTTATCTGAGAATAACATCTTAATTACAGAGTCCCTAGGTTAACTCTGAGAACCACTAGTGAGGGCTTTCGAATTTCAAATGACCAGCAGAAGAAACTGGTTTAGACCCTCACAAATGCATAAGGAACTTGCTCATCCAAAGCTGGCTGGGTCACTCAAAAGGGAACACTGTCTTCGCTGGCTAAGAGGAGTATCCCAGATAAAGGAGGTTTTCTCTCTGGGCTCAGGACTGGCTATCAGCATTGCCAGAAAGTCAAGCTTTTGTCTTTCTCTACCAACCCTATTAGAAACAAAGAAGGCTGTCACTTCCCCCAAACTGAAAATGTTCAATGAACCTTATCATGTCTTATACAAGAAAAACAAACTTGCACAATTATCACTATCAATATCACCATGACTTACACATTGGGTCCCCCGATTTCATGCATAACCCAGATCTCAATTCGTGTAATTTTTTCCTTCTGGAAATTCGGAATTTCATAATCTGCAAAAAAACTGAGAAACATTTCTTAAAGACCTAAAGCAATATGATAATTTTTCCAGTTCAGTTGTTAATTTACACACTACTTTAAAGAAAAAAAGTTCCTAGAGGTTTTTTTTTTTTTTTTTTTTTTTTTTTTTTTTTTTTTTTTTTTTTTTTTTTTTTTTTTTTTTTTGTATTCAACAGCTGTTAATGGTTTAACTCTGTAGACATGGCTCTGATCACTAGGTCATTTGTCTGTTTTGCTTTACCTGAATTTATAGAAGCAAGCATGAGATGGGGATTAGGATAATTTTCTTTGGCCTCTATTTAAAACAATTAAATAAACATCTTGGCATCCTCTGTTGTGTTTGAATGTGTGGTGTTCTTACCCTTTGATGGGATAGGCTCCTGTTGGCTCTGAACCATTCAGCATGACATGGATCACCCCAGAACTATCCTTTGAATACTACAAGAAAAACCAAGTATTTTTAGCAAATAAAGACATGACATTTTTCTACGATAAAATGAGCATTTTTACAAATTGTCAGTTCTAAATAACGGCAAGGATATGATAAATGTGGCATTTCATATGGCTTGGTAGAAATGCAAACTGGTTTATTTTGGAAAGAAAATTGCCTTGAAATGTCAAAAAACTCGTAGACTCAATAATCCATGCCTGGGAATCTACACTAAGAAGATAATAGAAAATACGCAGTATCTTACCCGCTGGAATAAACCAGGTTATTCTCCCTTAGCAAAGAACCTCAAAACCGCAGTGGCTTTAAATAACAATAACATATAATGCTCACACTACATGTTTATCACAGGCCCTTTGGGATTTTGTTCCCCGTGTCCTCAGTCTGGGACACATCTGCAAAATCTCTGGTTGCCAGGAAAGGGAGGAGATAGTGACAAGTCATGGACCACTTCTTAAAGGTTTCCACCCAAAAGTCACACACATGACTCCCACTCGCAACTCATTGGTCAGGGTAAGCCACATGTAAATAACCGTGAGACAGGGGAGTGCAAACTGTGGCCTCAGAAGACAAGCCAGAAATATTTGGCAAGCAGCACTAAGGACTACCATGAGCATTGTGCACAAAGATGTGGAGTGGAGCCTTCCTTGTAATTCTGAAATATTGTAACCACTACAAAATACTCAACAACAAGGGAATGGTAAGTAAACTGTGATGCTTACGTGTCTGAAATTTTAACCAGCCCTTAGTCTACAAAGTACAACAAAGATTTGCAATAGCATAGGAAGTGCTTCCTTTTTTTATTTTTTATTTTTTATTTTTTGAGACAGAGTCTGACTCTGTGGCCCAGGCTGGAGTGCAGTGGCGCGACCTCGGCTCACCACAACCTCCGCCTCCTGGGTTCAGCCTCCTGAGTAGCTAGGACTACACGTGCGTGCCACCACGCCCGGCTAATTTTTTTGTATTTTTAGTAGAGACAGGGTTTCACCATGTTAGCCAGGATGGTCTCAATCTCCTGAGATCATGATCTTCAGCCTCGGCCTCCCAAAGTGCTGGAATTACAGGCGTGAGCCACCGCGCCCGGCCGGAAGTGCTTTACTTTCAAAGCAAAATGCAACAGTTGTTGGAGGAGCATGAGCTCTACTGTGTTAAAAACACATGGGCAGAAGTCAAGGAATTCCCAAGGGAGAGACAGGTCCACAGAAATTCCAAAATCTCCACTTCGAATTACTATCCGAAGCATATAATTTCCCTCATAAAATGTTTATACTAGAATGAAGGATGTGTAGAGGTGAAATACGTGGCACTGACGTATAGGTGGCTGGGTTCACTCCCTAGCAAAGTGACACTCAATACCAAACAATATACTCCATGTCATCCATGTCTCATATTGCTTCCAAATAGTGCTAACAGTCATAGTTATATCCCTAAGTACCAACGCCTGACCACCACTGTGCTAAACGGGTTGCCTTTAGGTGGTAGGAATGTCGGTGAAATTTATATTTTCTGTGTGTGTCACTCTCTGTTATGAGCAGCTATTATACTGACAAAAAGAAAAAATATTTTTTAAAAAATGTATGTAGGGTCAGGCCTGGCAGCTTACGCCTGTGATCCCAGCACTTTGGGAGGCTGAGGTGGGCAGATCACCTGAGGTCAGAGTTCAAGACCAGCTTGGCTGATATGGCAAAAACCTGTCTCAACTAAAAGTACAAAAATTAGCCAGGTGTGGTGTCGTGCACCTGTAGTCCCAGCTACTTGGGAGGCTGAGGTGGAAAAATCATTTGAACACAGGAGGCAGAGGTTGCAGTGAGCTGAGAATGTGCCACTGCACTTCAGCCTGGGTACAGAGAGACTCCATCTCGGAAAAAAAAGATAAAAATAAAAATTAAAAGTATGCAGATGCAATGAGGCTATATAACATCGTGGTTGAAAGTCTGATCTCGAGCTAGCCTGCCTGTTTTCAAATCCTGGCTCCACTGCTTGTCAGTTCCATATCCTTAGTAAAACTTCTTGACCTCTCTGTACCTTACTTTACTATCTGTAAAATAAGGATGTTAAGAATCTCTGTCTCATTGAACTGTCATAAAGAAGAAAATATTTAAGATAATAACTACTAACATTTATTGAATATTTATCTGCTAGGTTCCAATCCACTTTTCATCACTATACCACCCTACCTTTCCTCATGCTTCGACTACACAGCAAATGCCAAGGGCTCAGAAAAATGTAGGCACTAGTATTAGATTTCCATTCTAGAATTGGAAGAAGTATAAGGTGGTGGTTTGGAGCACACACTTGGAAGTCTGGCAGAGCCACTGGGTAAAATATATGGTCCCATTACATGTAATGTTAACATATCCCCTGAGTTACTATTTGATCCCACTTTCAGATGATGACATCTCTGTTGCCTCCCAATTCTCAATGAGGAGCTCTGGCAGCCACTGCCAACTCACTGGATTCTGTGCTCAAGATGAAACCTATAGGTAGTGGGAGCAAATGATACTCCCTTGGGATGGGCAGCAGAGCACAGTGATAAACAGAGTATGTTTTATCTGGGAAGAACCCTCCGCATAGTTCCAAACTGTAGCCACTACGGAGGATTTGACCAAGGTCCTTCTCACCCTAACAATCTACCTAGTGGACACCTGAGGATCTAGGGTAGAAGATGGGACCCAAAGAGACATGCAGAGTCCTGAAAGGGGGTTGGCAGTGGTGGGTGGAACTGCCCTGACATTCACCTGGTCAGCATAGCTAACACTTAATAGTCAACAGCTTTTTGCCAGGCACTGAACTAAGAATGGAACCCTCTTTATTTCTAATCTTTATTCTAATTCTTGTGACAGAGAGTGTAAGCTGTAGTCCCTGGCATGTTATAGCTACTTATAGCTGTCATCAACTCTGGTAACATCATTCTCTGGGAGACAGACCTACTTTCAGAGGACCATTTCTGTGTCTCCCGCTTACCCTCCATCACCTATCAGTTCCTCTCCCATTAATATTAGTCTCGTGGACATTTCTGACCCCCACAAATTGATCTTAGGTGTCCTAGGGTCTTCCATAAGGCAGAAGTTGCCCCATTTTAGTAGCAATCAAAATCATTGATTGGAAATACTAACAATAACCATGACATAATGGAAATAATAATAACTTAAAACCCACATGTACAGCCAACATTTACAGAATGTTTTCTCTGTGCCAGGCACTATATTAAGTACTTATTTCCTCAAATTCTCACAACTTTATAGAGCAGACAGCATGAGTCATGATTTGGTAAAAGTGGAAAATGAGGCTCAGAGTTGAGTGATGACCTGGAGCGCAGACTCTGAGCCACTGTGTTCAGAGTATGTGGACCAACCCCACAGGTCCACACATGCTCAACTACTCAGATATCATTCTCAGCACTACCTGGATGGATGCCCTTTTCCAAAAGGAATCCACAGGATTATTTTCACAGTCTTCTGATGTAGGGCAGGATTGGTAATCGAGTCCTAAGGGGAAAGTAGACAAACATGTTTTATTCCAAAGATTATCTATCTCAGAGAAGAATTAACTTACAATGTATGCCAGCTCCATGAAATATACTTAGCCTCCGTTCTGTACAATGTGCGCAAGTTTAACATCCACGGTTCTTCCCACTTGATCCACAAGGAGGCTGGTGAGGGACCACCTTGTCCATGATATTAAAGACATCCTTCATTTTGCTCATTACAATGTAAGGAAGGCAGAGAACTAAACAGCTGGCTAGTGAGTGAGCCTAGCTGACCACTATGCATCAGCATGTTAGCTGGGTTATTTCTCTACTGGAACGCTAGTAAAGTAATTTTTAAAAACCCACAAACAACAACAACAACAAACACCCTTTGCTTTATTGGGAGAAGTGCGTTCTCCAAAAATCCAGTTGTTAGACATTATCTTAGTAGTAAATACAAGGAAAAAATGTACTGAGAAAGTGATAATCCTTAGCCAGAAAACAGAAATTTTATACCATTGAAAAATATATAAAATGTTAAAATGTATTACGTTTAAAAATGTTTAAGGACAAATTAAAGACTCCAGCAGATCAATGGGATGTGAGATGTGCTTATCATATACTCTATAAAGAAAAAAAAATTCTAATAGAGAAGTTGACCGCATATTTCTGGCAAGTTCTGCTATTAATAGAATCAACCTGTGTCCATCAACTAATTAATAAAGAAAATATGGCATATATACATAATGGAATACTATTTAGCCATAAAAAAAAATGAAATCCTGTCATTTACAACAACATGGATGAACCTGGAGGCCATTATGTCAAGCAAATAAGCCAGGCACAGGAAAACAAATACTCCATGATCTCACTTATAAGTGGAATCTTCAAAAGTTGATCTTATAAGTGGAATCTTCAAAAGAAGTTGAGGAAGTGGAATCTTCCAAAGAAGTTGAGGAAGAATAGTGGTTATAAGATTTCACTTATAAGTGGAATCTTCAAAAGAAGTTGAGGAAGTGGAATCTTCAAAAGAAGTTGAGGAAGAATCGTGGTTACCAGAGGCTGGGGAGGGGAATGGATAAGGGAGATGGAAAGACCATGGTCAACAAATACAATGTTACAGTTACACAGGAGGAATAAGCACTGGGGCTGTAATGCATAATAGGGTGGCTACAGCTAACAATAGTGTACTGTATATTTCAAAATATCTAGTACAAAGATTTTGAATTTCTCACAAGGATAGTAAATGTTTAAGATGATGGATATGCTAATTACTCTGATTCGATCATTTCACAATGTATATATACATCAAAACATCACATTGTACCCCATAAATATATATAGTTTTTATCCGTCAATGAAAAATAAAATAAAACTTAAATTAAAGAAAAAAAAGAACCAAGGCCAGGTGCAGTGGCTGACGCCTGTAATCCCAGTGCTTTGGGAGGCTGAGGCAGGAGGATTATTTGAAGTCAGGAGTTCAAGACCAGCCTGGGCAACATGGCAAGACCACATGTCTACAAAAATAATTAAAAAACAGCCTAGTGTGGTGTTGTGTACCTGTAGTTCAGCTACTCAAGAGGCTGAGGCAAGGTGATCACTTGAGGATAGGAGTTCAAGGCTGTAGCAAGCTATGATCATACCACTGAATTCCAGCCTGGGCGGCTGAGTGAGACCCTATCTCAAAAAATAATAATAATTGAAAAATAAAAATAAAAAAACAAAATAAGAAAGAACTATTGTCAATGGTTTGGGTTTGCTATTTTCTTGACTTTTTTCTAAGTATATATTTTCATAGATGTATTGTGTATATGTGTTTTTACTTGAATAGCATCATACCAATCACAGGGTTCTGTAACTTTATTTTCAGCTTAAAAATATGCTTCTTTCAGGGCCAATAAATTAAAAACCCCATCACCATTGATGGTGGCCCCACAGGATTCCATGACACACACATACTGTTATTTAACTGACCTGAACTGCTGGACTTCACTTCCTTCCGAAACACAGAGGGCACAGATAGAAACAGACAGTGGGTGAGGTGAGGAAGGAAGAACTGGTGGTTTTCCGGAAGGCTCTCCCTTTCTGTATATGTTTTTCATCACATTCCTCCCTGCCTTCTCCCCGCCTTCAGCATAATCAAACAAAGGCTTCCTGGTCATCTCCATTGAAAGAATGGCTGTGTCCATTTGACCTGGAACCTGCAATGCTGCCCATCTCACTCACAGTGAAAAGCAGAGGCCTCACAACATCTGGTGCCATCTGGCCCGCCTTTATTCCTCTAGCCTCATAGCCCACACTTTCCTCTTTGCCCACTGCCCTCCTTGCTATTAAATATGTCACACACACTCCCACCTTAGGACCTTTGCAATTACTGTTCTCCTGTCAGAAAATGCTCTTTCTCTTCTTCAGATCCTTGTTCAAATACCAGCTCCTCAGTGAGGTTTTCCATAGGCATCTAGGTAAAAATACAACACTTTCCTCTCCCTGGCCCTCCCGCCTCCAGTTTTTGTGTCCTTAGTACCTGTTTTATTTTTCTCCATAGCCCTTATAATCTTAAGGCAGACTATATATTTCACTTGCCTGTTTATTGTCTTATCTGCCCTCCTGTAATGTAAGCATGAGGTATTTATTAATTTCCTCTTTTATTCTCTACTGGGTTCCCACTGTCTAGAAGATGAGGGTCTGGCACATAGTAGACACTATAAATTTTAGTTTGATGGACAAATGAATGGAGGGGAAATAAAAAGAACTGATATTAGGTTAATTATTTGTTATTTTTCCCCCCTTTTTGTGCTGAGTCTCACTCTGTCACCCAGGCTGCAGTGCAGTGGTGTGTTCTTGGCTTAGTGCAACCTCCATCTTCAGGGTTCAAGGGATTCTCCTGTCTCAGCCTCCCAAGTAGCTGGGATTACAGGCATGCACCATCACATCTGGCTAATTTTTTTTTGTATTTTTAGTAGAGATGTGGTTTCTTCATGTTGGCCAAGCTAGTCTCAAGCTCCTGACCTCAAATGATCCACCCACCTTGGCCTCCCAAAGTGCTGGGATTACAGGAGTGAGCCACCAGGCCTAGCCTGACATTATGTTAACTTTTAAAGTGACTCTGATATTCAGGAAGGATCTCCAGTCTTCATGACAGGAACACTCCCTCATCTCTTTCATTGCTAGCCTCCCTCCTCAAGCTTCCTTGATGACCTAGTAGAGACTGGTGTCTCTCTCTGCTACTTCGGCACACCATTTTTCCTGCATTATAGCCCATATCACTCAAATTAATACCCCCTATGAGGCTATAAGCTCCCTGAAAATGGTGACTGCTTTGTCGCCAGCTCCTAGCACCACAGTTGGATGAATGAGGAGAGTTTGCAGTACATGCAGGCCAGCTCTTGTGACTCTAATGTTCCCTATGACTTGGATCTCAAAATCTCTGCTGGTGGCCTGGAGTGATGTTAAAGCACACAGGCTTCAGAATCTATCAGGACAGAGCCGAGACCCAGTCTTACCGCTTCCAGTCATTTAACCTCCTTAAGCTTCAGCTTCCCCCTCTGGACAAATGAGGATAGCCAGACAGAGTTGTGCAAGGTTGAGAATATGGGCTCTGGAGTCTGACTGTCTGCTGCTAACTAGCTATGTCCCCTGAGCAGTTTTCTTAATCTTGCTGTGCCTCAGTTTCCTCATTTACCAAAGTGAGGATTATGATAGAATCCCATGAGGCTGTTGTGGCATTAAATGAATATGTGTGTGTGTGTGTGTGTGTGTGTGTGTGTGTGTGTGTGTGTGTAGTGCTATATATACATATATTGCTTAGACTGGCACCTGCAGAAGATACGTATTCTCTAGCATTGTTATTATTAACTATTCTTGACACTTATCTCAGAGGACTTGGAGAGGATCAAATGAAATGAATGCATATGAAAGCATTTAGCACAAATGGTAATGCATAGTACATAGGAGCTCTTAAGTCTCCCGTGATCTGTGCAAGAAACGTACCGGAGGCATTTTTCTGTCGACACCAGCTCAAGAAATCTGCAACCCTGCCATACAGAACATCGCTCACGGGCATAAAACGACGGGTGTTATCCGAAAAACTGTTAACAAGGAGGTGGCTATTTTCCCAGAACAGGGACTAAGGAAAGACAAACAAAATATCAAAATACAAAACAAAATCAAAACAGACTCCTGAGGCACGATATCCTTAAGGCAAGTCAGGCAATCGGGTTCTCATTCAACTCTGACCTGCTGCACAACTTAACTTTCCTTTTTGTTGTCTTCATTTATTCATTCAAAGAGTGCTAGCATCTCTCCTCCCTTTCTTCCCAGGAGATCATGCAAATGTTAATGAAATATTTTCTCACTAGTACAAAATACACATGCATGTGATAAGATTACCTACATTAAAAATGATCAGCTGTGCACAGTGGCTCATGCCTATAATCCCAGCACTTTGCGAGGCTGGGGCAGGCAGATAACAAAGTCAAGAGATCGAGACCATCTGTCCAACATGGCAAAACTCCGTCTGTACTAAAAATACAAAAATTAGGTTGGCATGGTGGCACGCACCTGTAGTTCCAGCTACCTGGGAGGCTGAGGAAGAAGAATCGCTTGAACCCAGGAGGCATAGGTTACATTACAGGCGCGTGCCACCATGCCCAGCTAATTTTTGTATTTTAGTAGAGACAGGGTATCACCATGTTGGCCAGGATGGTCTCGATCACCTGGCCTTGTGATCCACCCTCCTTGGTCTCCCAAAGTGCTGGGATTATAGGCGTGAGCCACCGCGCCCGGCTGCTTTTGTATTACATAGTTTCTACTACAGCTTTTTCACACAACAATAACACAAATCCCCCCATCACTATTTCATCTGACCCTCAGTAGTTCCATCAGTGTATATTTAGACTAGAAGGTCCCCAAGGGTGAGGGCGGTTTTTCACTATTACATCCTTAACCCGTAGCACCAATGACTGGCAAACAAATAGCCCAGGAAGTATACTGAGTTCATCAACTACCACCAAATCTATGGAAGAGAAGGAAAAAAAGTTGGCTTCTCCCTTTTAGTGACAGGAAGGCAGTGAGGTTCAAAAACAGCATATACTTAAAACTCATGTTTTCAGTCTATTCTATCTTTGAATCTCACAGTTCTATTTACTTGCTTTTACAAATAACACACAATAGAAAAAAATCAGGTTAAGAATGTTTATGTCAGAGAAACAAAAATGGTGTCTAGCTTTCTTTAAACTTGAGGTATTGTTTTAAGCAAGGGTTTTATGGAAATGTTCTCTTATTAGACCTTAGGGTATAGACAGAATATAGATATGTGGTTTTCTTAAATAAACTGGTACTGAATGAATATCATCTTAAGACCCATTAAATGGAGAGACTGGTCTCCTGGGAGGATACTGAGATTGAGGGTTTTCTGAATTTCTCAAGGGTCAGGCCATTGGGCTAGTTAAGGTGAAGGTTATTTAGAACTGGACAGATGTGGAGGCCCAGTGTGACAGGTATGGCCATGTCCTGATGTCCTTGTGGTGATTCTCACACTGACTTGCTGATTTAGGAAATTTTCTTCTGCCCACAACCGGCGGGAGATCTAGAATCACTGTTTGAAACTCATATGGTTTGGATTTGTGTTTCTTGTCAAAGTGTAATTTTCTATGTTGGAGGTGTGGCCAGGTGTGAGGTGATTGGATTATGGGGGCAGATTACCCCCTTTGGTGCTGTTTTCGTGATGGAGTTCTCAGAAGATCCGATTATTTACAAATGTATGGCACCTCCCTCTGCCCTTGGTCCTGCTCGTGCCATATAAGACACCTGCTCCCACTTTGCCTTACACAGGAGTAAAAGCTCCCAGAGTCCTCCCAGAAGCCAATGTTGCCATGCTTCCTGTACAGCCTGTGGAACTGTGAACCAATTAAACCTCTTTTCTTTATAAATTACCCAGTCTCAGGCATTTCTTTATAGCAATGTGAGAATGGACTGACACAGAAACAAAGTCAGCTTCCCACAGAGAGCTCAGCACACACAGTGTGTGCTGCCTGATGTTTCTGTGACATTGCAGGATGCAGGGGACAACTAATCTCACACCTCGCCCATGCACCATCCATTTCTGTAGAGACAGAGGGCAAAGTTTTACCCAAGACGGTTGTAGCATTACCTTATCTCTGGGAATAGAGTGCCTGGAGAGGTTAATAAAAAGATCATAGTCCGAGGGAAGCACGGAACAGGGATCCTTGGCCAGCACCACTTTAAAGGCTTCCCAGATGGCTGTGCAGTTCTTGTTCCTTTGCAAAAGTACAAGTTGGGAAGAAAACACACACTTGAACATCACGATGTAATGTGAAGTATTTTCACTTCTCTAAGAGCTTTACAAGAGATTTTGTCATATAGTGACTCTGCAGAAGCAGGCTTACAAAAAAGACAACAAACTGTCATGGCTCAGGTGACAGATTCAGAAGTATGACACTGGAGTTTTCTCTCAGAAGGCATTGCACAGATTTCTCAGAGCTAAGGAACACAGCCTTGCCCCAGGCTCACAGAGATAAGCAGAAATGACACTGAGCAGGATGTGACAATTTCAGTCAACTATACACAGGTGCCTCTTCATTTAGACCTAACAGTGGGGCTAGTCCCATTGTCCAGGTCCACTGTGGAAATCAGGGACCAGGTGAGGTCAGGCCAGGCCAGCCAGCAGGAGGTGTGATGTCAGGTCCCAATGCTGCAAAAGGCTTCCACCCTTGGTAAGGCAGGTGCACCCTCCAGTGCCAGCCACTCTAGTTTTCAAAAAATATTTCCCACAGCATCTGTAACTTTTTGTTTCTCATACTGGGTGGTGTGTAACACAGGTGCTTCTTATATTATTCTCTGCTGTTTTTTATTTGTCTGAAATGTATGACAATAAAAACAATCAGCACAAGAAAGAGACATCACAAACATAAGAAAAGGGGGGGTCCACAGAAGGAACAAAAATCAGCAAGAAATGTAGCGCTAGCAAGAAAGACCCACTACTTCAGAAATCCTCTAGATTTAGGGGATCTGAAATTTGAATTCTGGAAGGATTGGACTGAAGGAATCCAACCTGAGACCACATTCTGGTTTCTGAGGGTTCAAACTAAATGTGCTGGCTGGCAATGGGCTGTTACCCAGTTCACCTCTACCCAGCCCTCACTTCTAGAGTGATACCTCTCCACTCTCCTTCACACTCACACACACACACACACACACACACACAAATACACACCCCTCACCTCTAGAACACACACACACACACATCCCTCACCTCTAGACCACACACACACACACATCCATTACCTCTAGAACACACACACACCACCACCTCTGTAACAAACACATACATCTCACCTGTAGAACACACATATGCACACACACCTCACCTCTAGAACAAACACACACACATCTCACCTCTGGAACACACACCCCTCACCTCTAGAACACATATACATACTAATATGGTTAGGCTTTGTGTCCCCAACCAAATCTCATCTTGAATCATAATCCCCATAATCCCCATATGTCTAGGGAGAGACCAGGTGGGAGGTAATTGAATCATAACGGTGGTTTCCCCTATGCTCTTCTCATGATAGTGAGTGAGTCTCACAAGATCAGATGGTTTTATAAGCGTCTGGCATTTGCCCCTACTTGCACTCACTCTGTCCTGCTGTCCTGTGAAGAAGGTGCCTGCTTCTCTTTTGCCTTGACTTTTGCGGTGACTGTAAGTTTCCTAAGGCCACTCCAGCAATGCAGAACTGTCAGTCAATTAAACCTCTTTCCTGTATAAATTACTTAGTCTCTGGTATTCCTTCATAACAGTATGAGAACAGACTAATACACACACACACAAGGCTCACCTCTAGCACAGCGCACCCCCTCACCCGCAGACATACTTCACAGCCTCCCTCCACACTCACCCCCATCCTTCAGGACCATCGCTGTCTCCAGACTCACCTGTCCCCTCAAGGCCTCTCTCATTGTCCCTTCATCCCGACCTTTAGCGCCAGTTTTCCCCTCCCCACGCTCTCTACACCGTTGCCTCTTTTCCCCTCCCGCTTCCCGCTCTGCCCGCGGCCTCACCGCTGCCTCACCGCTGCTCGGGACTCAGCAGCGCGCGGTACTCGGCGCAGCGGCCCAGGAAGATGTCCTGCAGCTGTGGGGTGGTGCCCTCCCCGCTCCACAGCGCGCGCGCCCCTCCTGCCTCCAGCAGTAGCAGCAGCAGCAGCAGCAGCCGCAGCAGCCGCCGCCGCCGCGACGCCCCGCACCCCCAGGCCGCCATCGGTGAACTTTGGTCCCTCCAGCCCCATGCTTTCTCCATTCTCCTTCTCTCCTTCTACTTAGACTGCTCCGCAAACTGATGCTGAGCGGGACTCTAGCTCTGACAATTCGCTGTTTTCCGTTTCCTAATCCAGTCTATTTCAAGCCTGAGCTTGGGGCGGAGCGCGGTGGCTCAGGTCGGCAGTCCCAGCACTTTGGGAGGCCGAGTGGGGCGGATCGCTTGAGTGTAGTGTGTTACGCAGACGAACCTGAGTAACATGAGTAACAAACTTCCTCTCTACAAAAATAATAATAATAATAATAATAATAATAATAGCCAGTCCTGGTGGTGCGCACCTGTAGTCCCAGCTACTTGCCAGGCTGAGATGGGAGAAGGGGATCAGTGATTGCAGTGAGAGGCGATTGCACCACTGCACTCCAGCCTTGGGAGACAGAGCAAGACCCTGTCTAAAAAAATAAATAAATAAATAAATAACTGAGCTTGAAACATCACCTGGGACAGGACCCGTGCATTGCGGCCCAGGCTAATCTTTTTT